CCGCAATCCCTTCTCCTCCATTCTCCTCTCGGGATCTTGGGCACGCACGCACATGTGCCCGGCGTGAGTTTTAAGCCTCCGGGTCTGGGACGCGAACCGCGGTCGACTACGTGGGAGTCCAGCGACATAGCCATTACGCTAACAGCTGGTTCCCTTAACCACAGTTTCTAGAAGCCCGTGGGGACAGTCCCCTTTGGTTACCTCCCTGTCTCCCATCCCCGGCCCCTCCCTAGTGGCCACCACCGTTTCTGGATGGGGTTGTTCCAGATCGGCCTGCGGCAGCCAGCCTCCCTTGGTTCATGAGCACAAGGAAAGGTGGTGTCTCTGTGGGTGCGCAGCCTGTACCACACCAGGTTTGCGTTTTGCTTAGCGTCTGCGTCTGAGACCTCCGGGAGGTGGGAGGAAGGCCTTCCTCATCCTTCCCGACTGCTGCAGAGCCTTCCAGGTGGACGTGCCTCAGATCCTGCTGATGGGCATGGGGTGCATCTAGCGTTTTCCCTGCTCCAAGCCTGCCGCCAGTCTAGCGGACGTCTCTGTGCAAGTGGGCGAACACTTTTCTGGCCTGCTTAGCAGTGGGATTACTGGGCCCAGCGTGGTGGCTCAGGAGGCTGGATCCCATATGGCCATCTGAGCAGTTTGAGTCCCGGACTGGGTGGTGTGGCTGTGTGTACTTGCCCAAATCCAACAGGAGGAAGCTATGGAGAAGACTGGTGTGACCATGCCCCATGGGGAGCTTTCTCACTTTCCATCTCTCTGGCTCTCTCAGGGCAGCGCAGGAGCCCTCCAACAAATTAAAAAAAAAAAAAAAAGACAAAACAAAAAAGTGGGATTAGGGGTCTCATGCTGACCCAACCAAACTGCCCTCAGAAAGGCTGTGCCCCTCAGGGACCCAGCTGCACTGAAGGAGTCCCTATTCCGCGCACTGCCACCGGCACTGGGTGTTGTGGGGCATGTCTGACTGTAGAGGGGGGTGGCAGGCCTGTCCCCAGGTAGTGGTTCGCAGTGTCACTTGCTGTAAGCTCATTCATTCTGTCGCCTGCCCCCACCGTGTCTTTCAGCCCGGCCGCCCCACGTCGGTCTCCGCCATGAACGGGCCCACGCTGCAGCCGTCCTCGGCCTCCTCCGCGTCCTCGGCCTCCCCGGCTGCCGCGGCGGTGGCGTCCCCGGCCCCCCGGGGCTGGAGCGAGTTCTGCGAGCTGCACGCGGTGGCCGCGGCCCGGGAGCTGGCCCGCCAGTACTGGCTGGTGGCCCC